TGGATTTAAGGTTGTAACTCAACCGCCAACTACTTTATCATTATCAATGGCAAGCCTAGAGGCAGGATCAGAGCCACTAGGGGTTTACGCTAAGGGGATCCCCCTTCCTCTTCATCATGGTGGTTGATCAAAGGTTTTCAGATTGGCAAAGATATCCATGCTCTTCCATTGTTCATCTACAATATGAATTTGGGGATGACACCATCCTTTTCTCCATACAAAGGAGGTGACAACCTTTTCTGCATTATTAAATATTTGGAGGAAGCTTTGGGCCTTAATATAAACTGAAAAAAATTTGAAACTATGGGAATTGGTTTCGGTAATCAGCAACTATCTTATCTTGGTAGCTGGTTTGGGTGCAAAATGGGCAAGTGGCTAAATACTTACCTTGGCTTATACCCCTTAATGGTAAGCCTAGCTCATCATCCTTCTGGGACCTGATTGTTGAGAAAGGTTAGAAAGACTTGTGTTTCGGTTCCACTTACCTATCCAAGCGGTCGATTCATGCTACATTTTAGAACCTCTCTATTTACTATTGATATCTTTTCAAAGCTCCAACAAAGGTGGCCTACAGTTTAGAGAAACTTCTTAGAACTTTTTTTCTGGAAAGTTAGTATAGAACAAAAAGGCAACCATCTCTTAAAATGGGAAGTTGTGAAGGCCCCCATTGAAGAAGGTGGACTTGAAATCAGAGATTTATAACAGAAATGCCTCTCTTCTTGCAAAATGGATTTGGCGTTTCCACCTTGAAAAAGAGGTTTTGTGGAGGATGGTTATTGTTGCTAAATATGGATCTTGCCACTTTGACCTAAAACCACCAACTATAATTTTAAATTCATCCAGAGGGCCTTGGAAATCTATTGATAAATTGAAAGCTGTTGTCTGTTCCCATATTTCCCTCAAGGTCTGAAATGGTAACAATACACACTTTTGGAAGGATAATTGGAGTGGAAATACTAGCCTTCAATACGTGGACCCTTGGCTGTACCATCTCTCTTTTGTAAATCTAACTGAATCTAAAGGGATTAAGATTTTCTAGAGAATTCCTTATAGAGTCCAAGAGATTCTAAGATGTTTATAGAATATCTTGGAATATTTGTTTACAACCTCCAAGATAATTCTAGATAGAACTAATGTGGGATATATTTGAGATAATTAAGTGTCGATCCTCCAAGAAGCTTATAAACGAGTTAGTGTTATTTTTTATTTTACACGATGGCTATACTTGCCATAAGGTAACAAAATTACGTAGTTAATTCTCATTTTGATTACTATTTTGTGAACTATTATTATTCACCTTTTCTTCTTTCATGACTCCATTGTTACTAACTTGTTTACAGACTTTGGTGCTCTTCTCAACATGTGATGCCGTAGATTTCCACTACTCCCTGTTTGGTGGATTTAAATTCTCCTCTTCAGAATCAGAACCGAGGTCTGAACATTTGTTCCTTAATTGCAAGATTTTCCGGTTGCATGGGAGCATGAAGCCGGAGGATCGGAGAACAACATTTCAGGCCTTCAAATCAGAGAAGCTTGCTCTTCTTCTATCCACTGATATTGCTGCTAGGGGCTTAGATTTTCCAAATGTTAGATGTATTATTCAATATGATCCTCCAGGAGAGGCAATTGAGTATGTGCATAGGTAACTGCACTTACTTTTTGAGAAAGAAAATGCTCTCTTTATTATTTATTTCTACTTGTTGGTACTCTTCTTCTGTATTATTAGTTGATACAGTTAGTATTTCAACTCTTTTCTGTGTTTAGTATTTGATATGACATAATTGATAGCTCTATTAGTGAGTTCTCGATATCGTTGGTTAGAACAGCCAGAACAGTTATATGTCTCTACTATATAGCGTCTTTTGTATTCCATGGATCCTTTTAGTTCCACTGGAATTCCTAATGTGGCTTGTGAACTTGTGGGTTTCATTGAATGATTCTATTTAAGCGGATTTTGTGGAATTTGTTTAAATATTATTATTTAACTTGAACCTATGCAATGTTATCTTGGGAATTTGTTTACAAAACTAACACCTAAATAAGGTGATCTTTAAATTATTTTAAAAAACCAAACACCTATATCAAGTGATCTTTCCATTATTTCCTACAAATCATGCAGTAAGTTGGTATTAATAGAGTGCACGTGTAGCTATGATATTTCACCAGCGGGGTGATGACAAAATTCCTTATTAGTTGGCTTCCGGGGCCTGCTTTATCAACTACTCAAGTCCAATTCATCTTAGCATTTACATTTGTGAATATCCTGATGCAGGGTTGGAAGAACAGCTCGCTTAGGTGAAAGAGGAGATTCATTGCTATTCCTACAACCAACTGAAATAGATTATTTGCAAGATTTGCGGAATCATGGTGTATCTCTTACTGAATATCCTCTTGTCAAGGTGTTGGATAGTTTTCCGGCTCGTGGCAGGAAGCACTTTGTAGAGAAGTTCGTTTCTTTAGAATCACATTCCTGGATCATGTTCTTGCAGAGGGCAGTCGAATCGTTTATTGCAGCTGAGGTAGTTTTTTTCACCATCCCTCTTCTCTTTTGGTCTAATTAACAGTTTCAGAGTATAGGAGCCTTCTGACAAGTGCTTAATTTCATTAATATGAATGACATGTCACATTGTCTTTGCCTGGGGGAGCTTCTTTTTTTTTTTTTTCTTTTTTTTTTGGTGAAATTGCTATGATTTGACAATGCATTCGATCATTCTTAGAATTTTCATTTAGAGATGTTTAATATAAACACAAGGCATCACCTTCTGTCTTTTTTTTTTTAGAACTCTGCATTATTGTAACCTTGATTCATGAATAACACACTTTCATGGAAAGAATTGGCTAATGATTTCATTCTCCATTTTTGTTGTTTTTTGCTTCGAAGGTACTTCACTTTTAGGTTTTATTCTAGAATCTAAAATGACATGATTTCATTTGTAGGCTTTCATTGTGGTTCTGTTATGTATCAAGAATGAGTACAAATGAAATGAGTCTTTCCAATCCCTTTGCTATTACTGTTTATGTCAAAACATTGAGCATTCTTAACTTCCTGGTTTCACCTCCAAAATCAAGACTTTAGTATTTTTTTTTTTTTTCAGGATATAATATTTTCTCCAAAAAGGGTAAGGAATGTCAATTCATGTTTCACGGGGTCCATTTTGTTTATATTTTTAATACTTCATTTTTATCTCGACTTTTTTTTTTTTTTGGTAGGACCAACATAAAAATTCATATTGATTCACATTTCGAATATTAGTTTACGAGATTAAAGGCTGCCTGCTCGTTTTAATTTTGGTTGTCATAGAATCCTCATACTTGTACCCTAACAGAAAGTGGAAGCCTTGAACTAAGAAAATGTAAATTGACAATAAATAGTAAATAATTAATGGACACAAACTGTTAAGCCACATAATTCTACGTTAATGTAAATGTTCACTTTCCCTCGAATCAGGAACATATACTAGGACAACCTTTCATGAACATATTGTTGATATTTAGTAAATTTTTCTAAAAATTGTATCAAACTTCTCAGGATGTGTGAGTGAATATAAACATGCATGGACTTAAATTTTTGTCCCTTATCCAGCAATTTCCTACCTTCACTCTTCATGTGGTCTGGCCTTCGATGAAAATGACTCAATCCCTCCTAAATTCTTTTTGAGTATTAATTACCTCTCATTCCTTTGGTTTTTTCTCCTCTGGAATTCAACATGTGAGTGTGAGAGTGGAAGGATTGAATCTCTGACTTCCTAACCAGTTGAGTTATGTTCATGTCTCTTTTGGTTTTTTCTCCTCTGGAATTTAACATGTGAGTGTGAGAGTGGAAGGATTGAATCTCTGACTTCCTAACCAGTTGAGTTATGTTCATGTCTCTTTTGATGTCTTTCTATTTGTTACTTCAATTATTATAGCATTCTTAGATTGTGGTCAATAATTTGTCTTTTTTATTCATATGAGGTACTTTATTGAATACTAATGAGATATCATCTATGCTTCAGCCAGGCGCAAGTCTAACAAAGAAAAAGAAATATTCATTACTCCATTTATTTTCTCTCATTGAGTGTTTTCAATTCTAACATCAGTTAACTGGTAGCCACATTGAGCTCAACACAAGTCTTCTGGAACTCAAAGAGATCGTTTGTTCTCCTTTCTTTGCATGATAGAATGTTCTGTACACACCAAACATTCTATTGATTTTCCTGTTTTCAAGAGTAAAGAAGTAATGGACTTCCAAAAATGCACCCCCAACGTTTCAAAAGAATTATTTGCATTTTTCTGTTTTTTTTTTTTTTTTTAGCTTTTCCTTTTTGTTATTAAATTATTTTTAGCCTTATTTCGGGATTACTTTAATATGTTTGTATTGCTTTCATCAGCCAGGAATGATGAAGTTGGCCCAGAAAGCATTTTGCTCTTGGGTTCGTGCATATACTGCTCATCGTGGTGAGTTGAAAAGAATTTTTGTGGTGAAGAAACTTCATTTAGGGCATGTAGCAAAGAGCTTTGCGTTGAAGCAACAACCATCTGTTGTTGGAAAATCATTCAAGAAACAGGAAAAGAAAAGGAAAAGATATCCAAAGCAGGATGTCTCATCATCAAAAAAGAGGAATTTGTAAATAGGTGGAAAGGGTAAGCATGGAGGGGCTTTTAGTGAACTTGCAACATAACTGTTGATTCATTTTATTTACTTTTCTACATGGTAGCTCTGTTGAAGGCTGTGATTGTGAACTGTTTATCATGTCTAGGTCGCGTGCATCAATTGCAAGGCACCTCCCAAATTTTGAATTATAGTCAGTTATGTTTATCATGAGTTATGTGTGTATGCAACTTGTAAACGAATCTGGCCTAATTGAGTGAGTATGACTGATTGAGTAGGTGTACATATTGGAGTGAAGCTTTTATTGTTTCAGCTATGTTCAAGTTTTTTGCTCCGATTCACTGTTGTCTTTAATAACTGGGATTTGTGAGCAATAAATACGTGGACCATGACTACCAAATATGAGCGTAGGTAGTCAGAGGCCCAACAATCCACCCACCGCCGGAACGCGTAGAGGAGGTTGGGGAGTCCAAATCGAAAGCACATGGGTGGTTTGAAAGCAGAAGGGGTCCAACAAGATATTGGGAGCCACCCGTACCATATGCGTTCAGGACCAGCGCTGCCGAACGGAAACAGTTATATGGGATTCTCTACACTCCCACGTCAAGGTGTATTTCCCTTTCTCTTGTACCCACCACTTGGAAGGCATAAAAAGGTCGATGTTAAGGCCCAATTTCGGTTACTTGGTGCATTTGCTGTCGGACACCTGGAATTGGTGCCCCCAGGGTACGATTTCATCTCTCTATTCCTCTTAACCTTCTTTAATTACATCCTCCCTCCTCCTCCTCCTGTGTCCCCTGCAAAAACTTCGTCTCTTGCGGATATATATCCTAATTTTTTAACGTATTCTTCCAGTGATCCAGTCTCTTTTTATTTCCTGTATGTGACTCCATTCACCATTCTTTTGAAGTAAAAATTAATGTTTGGAAACTGTATTTGATACGTTATTGTTAATATTTTTCTTGTTGATGGTTGTAGTTTCTTGGACGGTTCATTTTCATCACATGATTTCATATAAACCCAGTATTGAAGGTCTTCCCAATAATGTGAGAACGCTAGTTTCAGTTTTAGTTGGTTTTGAAAGGAAAATGAGCTATTGCTCACCTTGTATCATTTGGTTTATATACATTTGAGATTGTGTAGAATTGAATGAGTGTTGTTAGCGTTTTAGGGTGTTATCAGTGAGTTTGTACTCTTTTTGTTGTTAGCCATATGATTTCTGGCATCCACATAATATAATCTAATATAATGTCAGTAAACTATGTGTGTGCCAATTAACGTGGCTTAGGTTGGTGGGGAATAATATGATTCTCTTTCAACTCAGTGGTAGATCACAAATACACAACACTTGCATTGTTGTTGTACATATGAACGTGAGAGTGTGTGCAGACAATAGTCTCCTTGATTAATTTGATTGCACACTGCGCACGTACGCCTTAAAAGATATTTACCATATGGCAGGTCAGGGAAAAAGAAGTCTCCCGTTCACAAGCGCGTATGCTATGGTGTTACCAATATTCACCAGTGGAACAAGGGGAATGCAAGTTGATTGATTGAACCCCACCTTCAATAGTGCATTAAAAGACTGGCCCTCCCATCACCTCATCATCCTTTGTATAAAAGATATGGTAGAATATTACCTAGATTGTGACCTTAGTGGTCCATTAATATATCAACTTCATCTTCTAGAGATTGGAAGAGTGCATACTTAAGAGTTTGGATTTACGAGCGATAAATTCAATCCCTACTTGTCTTGTCGACACATTTTGTTAGGTGCAAACAAATTCTTACATTGTCGAGAAAATGAAAATAACAATATCGTATAAGGATAATTATTTTTGTTGATATGAGATATTTTAAGTGAATCAAAAAACAAATACAACGAGAGTTTATATCTAAAGTGGATAATATCATACCCTATTAATTAATTAATTAATACAACTTTATATGAAACTTAGGGATCTTGTCTAAAGGTGGATACATGGTGTGAATTCTTCTAATAAAATATGCATGCATGCCACTTTAATGTCTTTAGATCTATTAGCATCTCATACCTATACCACATAATTATATAATGAGTAAGTTGGGAAGAGAGTAAAATTAACCAAAGCATGTGTTAATTTGACATTTGATAATGGTTGCCTCGAGCATCCACTTAATACAAGAATGAGATGGGATGATTCTGGGTTCTCACACATTCATACCAATTTTCAATCCAATCTTATCTAGCACCATAGATAGAGTAATGTAACAAATTCTTCATCAAGAATAATAGACGAGTGGTTTTCTTTACGTCAATTAAACGTACTAGACTCTATAATTTTATAGTTTTTAGATGACGAGGATCACATGCGAGAAAAACACTTGTTGATTTAATAGATTACCCCGTGGTGTCAACCACAATGTTATATAATATCTGATTTGTCAACTACAATAATATTATAATAAAATGGATTCTACTACTTTTATTTGAAGTGAATCAAACGCGTACTTGGGATAACTCTTTGTAGCAGTACTCCAAATAAATATTAGCAGTTCTATTGATTAGAAGTGAGAGAAACTTTGCTTTGAGTTCTTAAAAAAGACTCATCTAATATATTATTTACTTATAAATTCATGATAATTTCTTAAATTAATCAACACATGACTACTTTTGGACGATTCTCGAAATGGGTATTATTAAGGACATTGGAACACTTGAATTAGTGACTAACCGGCATGGGCATGATCGCCACAAAAAAAAAAAAAAAAAAAGTGTTGATCCACACCACAATCAGGTCGGAGTTGGAGGTAGTTAGCCCGACAACTGCTGCTGCTCTTCACATGGCTGTCTGCTCCTCTCTCTCTCTCTCTGCCCTTTCATTAACTATTTCTAAATCCAGAAAAAAAAAAAAAAAGATTTTGTTACCTGCGTGTGAATTTTGGGGGCGTTAGGTAATGAATGATCTAGTTTGAGTTGGGCACACGGTCGGAGACGAGCTGAAATAGTAGGTGTTGTATCTGTTGTGCGCTTTTTAAATCGATTGGGTAGGAGAGGATAGGAATGATTTGAAGAGGAGCCAACCCATGTGGAAAGCTCCTGCTTTATTTTCCTAAAAGCCAAGAATATAAAATGAGGAGGAAAGGAGAAATAGTAGGATCAACTGCTACAATTCATTCTTCTCTCTTTTATTACACACTAGTAGTGTTCTTAATATTAACATTCCTTTGTGCGGTGTGGTCCAGCACTCATGAGTGGTGACTCGGCCGACAGCAGAAGGCCACGGCCACCCAATTACAAGAACAATAACCCCCCCCCCCCCACAGCACTGTTCATTGTAATCAATCATTCCCTTTCTTGTAATTATGGAGTTATGTTATTGATTTTTCTATTTTCCTCTCAAGCCTTGTTCTACCTTTTCTCTCTACCTTAGGCTTCTGATTCCCCGGCGACAAGTCTGTGTCAGCCCCGCCACAATTTAGGTATCCACTCTTTTCCTCCACAACCCACCCATTTGTTTGGTGCCCTTAATGTCTGTATCCTGGGGAGACTCTTTTGCTCCTGAGTTGTTTTCACTCACCTACATGCGCTTAGGGTTTGAGTAAAAGGGGTTTATAATAATATATGATAAACAGAGGGCTTCTAGTGATTTGCAAAATGGGGTTGTTCCGGTTGCTACGGAACTGGTGATCCGATTTGCTTTTGGATTTGTTGGTTATATCTTACAGGATGAAAGCTCCCCCAAATGGGTTTCTGCCCAATTCTGGAGAAGGTAACTCTTACCCTTTCTTATGTTTTACACACAAATTTCTTTTATATTCATCATTCCCCATTTGTTAAGTGAATTAAGTGAGCAAATGAAGTTTTATTCTTCCATTTCCTTTAATGTCGTGGCCATCTTTAATAACAATCTCACAACAATTGCCCACATTATTGCTCATCTTCTCTATAATGTTCTTTAAGAACACGATCGATGAGAAATTCTGAAGCTGTGTATGCTTCGGGCATGTTACAAATAAATGAACTTTTCATTGATTGATGCAAAGCAAGAGAAAGAAAATAAAACAAGAACCGACAACAACAACACATACAAGCTGCTACAAACAAAACTAAAAGCTTTGGAACGTTCTTTGGAAAGGCAGCATAAAGAACAAGGGATTTCATCTTCTTTAATGGGATACTTTAAAGGACCCCATGGAGGATGGATGCCTTAGGATTGTGTGGTGTGTGCCTTGGGAACCATAGTCTATAGCATTTCTGAATTTTGGTGTTCAAATCTGAATCACGGGTGCACCATCTGAGAGGAAACCTGTTGGAGGTTGAGATTGATGATTGGGCCATTTTATCTACATTTTTACAGCCTCTACAAGTTGCGACCAGAGAAGACTCGTGGCGCTGGTCTTCAGAACAAGATCACATTTTCACTTTAGTTTGTATATCTTAATCTTCCAAATATCATAGGAAACAATTTAATACTGGGAATTTGGTTTGGAACAGGTGAAAGGAAGAACATCAATTCTGAGCTATGGCATGCTTGTGCTGGGCCTCTTGTTTCGTTACCTCCAGTTGGAAGTCTTGTGGTTTACTTCCCTCAAGGCCACAGTGAACAAGTATGTCCCTTATCTTCCAACTTAAATAAACATGTACTTATGGATAGTGGTTTGTGATGGTTCACCTTTCAGGTTGCAGCTTCGATGAATAAGGAGACTGATTTCATTCCAAGCTACCCTAACCTTCCTTCTAAGTTGATCTGCATGCTCCATAACGTCACGTTACATGTACGTCGCCTTCCATATCCCATAGAGCTAATGAAATCTCTTAAATTGAACTCATAAATATATAAAGGAATGAATATGTGAGCACGACATGAGATGATTGTTTTGTGTTCTGAACCAGGCTGATCTTGAAACGGATGAAGTGTATGCACAAATGACCCTTCAACCAGTGAATAAAGTAGGTTAACCAGCCAATCAGTGTTCTATACTTCATATTGGATTCATTTGTACATTCAAATATTTTTCTTCTTAAAAGAATATTCTGTTTTGCAGTATGAAAAAGAAGCTTTATTGGCATCTGATATTGGCCTCAAGCAAAACAGGCAGCCTGCTGAATTCTTCTGTAAAACTCTAACAGCTAGCGACACCAGCACTCACGGTGGATTTTCTGTGCCTCGTCGTGCAGCTGAGAAGATTTTTCCCCCATTAGTGCGCATCACATTTCATATTTTTAAAACAGTTTCATCACTAATACTATTAAGTTTTTTTAAAAAAAAAGTATGAATCCACCAAAAAAACAAAAGCCCTTGTTCAAAACCTTCTTGAACATCATATTGTGATTGTGTGTGTATCTTTCTTATTAGCTCATATCGAAAATTTTATAATTATAGGACTACTCGATGCAACCCCCTGCTCAGGAACTAGTGGCTAGAGATTTGCATGATAATTCGTGGACATTCAGACATATTTACCGTGGTATGGAACCTTTCATTTTTTCCCCTTAGCTTTTTGATCTTCAATTAAAGATCTCTCTCATATTTGCACAATAGACTAATGTAGGTGTCTTTTGAGATGATGATTTCAATTCTTCATGTATTTTGTCTGTTCATTTTGATTTGGTAGATTGTGATGAACTTATGATTTACCCACATGTAATTGGAAGAACATGAATATGAATTTTATCATTTTGATGAGCTTAGAAATGCATAAAATACAGGCCAACCAAAAAGACACCTTCTGACCACTGGTTGGAGTGTTTTTGTCAGCACAAAACGACTCTTTGCTGGAGATTCGGTGCTCTTTATAAGGTATAAAATCATCAGTTTGTAACTCACCTGAATTATTGCTTACACAAATGCTGATCCTCTCTACTGATGCACTATAGAGATGAAAAGTCACAGCTTCTCTTAGGCATAAGGCGTGCTAACAGGCAGCAGCCAGCTCTGTCTTCATCAGTCATATCAAGTGATAGCATGCACATAGGAATTCTTGCTTCTGCTGCTCACGCAGCTGCAAATAACAGTCCTTTTACCATATTTTACAACCCTAGGTAAGTACTGATTCGTATTTTTTTGTTCTAACTCTACTAAAATTCTGTGCAATTTCAGTTTCAGTATTCAACCATCATTTCCTGAGTTTTTCAGGGCCAGTCCTTCTGAATTTGTGATTCCTTTGGCCAAGTATAATAAGGCAATGTATGCACAAGTTTCCCTTGGCATGCGATTTAGGATGATG